AATGTATTGGCAATGCTGTTTGAAGAGGTTTGCATAGCAAGTACTTCTCCACATCCACTTGCTGATCTATTGCTGCTTTAAGCTTTCAATAAAACTAAAAAAATTAGCTCCTTTTTATCCTGCTCTAGAATGGGTCATTTCTAATTGGCTCTAGCTGGTGCATATTTATAATGAGCCTTTACAGTCTACCAAGTAAATAATGTCATAAAAATAACCTATTTATTTATAGACATAACAGAGTGTAACATTTGCTGCTAAACTGTTAAGTCTTTTGTATCAACTGCTCATACAGTTCTATAAGAGATTTTTATTGTAATTGTTCCTAACCTGCTTTAGTGGATGCAAAGCTCATACATAACACGTCCAATTCCCTGAGGGTACTAGCAAAATATAAGCACAACAAGGCTGATGCTTTAACCTTTTTTCTGACTATTCTAATTCACCAATTGTTTATCTAAGGGTAATTGCCAGAGGTTTTTAGAGAACAGTGGCTTGATTCTTCTCTCACCTACACCAGTATAACCAGGAAACCAAAGGAGTTAACAGTTATGTAAAACCTTGGACAAGTTACTTCATCTGTGTTTTTACTCCCACCTTTCTCTCTCTGACTGTATAGATTTAAAACTCCTCAGCAGAGAGGTTGCCTCCTGTTTGTACAAATGGCTGGCACAATAGGACCCTGACCTTTATTATAATACAAGTAATAACAAACCAAAATACTGGCAATCCTTTGTAGAACAAACTGAACAGAGGTGACTTCTTTTGTCTTGTATTTGGTGGTAGATATTAACAAAGCAAATGAAGCAAGCCAGTGCTATCACTGCAATAACTAATCATTGCAATGCATTCTGAAGAAAAAAAATTGAGATAATGTGTGATTTCTTCATCATTATGTGCACAGGTGTTAAGACTCTGGGATATTCAGCATCAGCTGTGCATCCAGAGGATTGCTGGCTCATTTCCAAAGAGTCTGGACTTCCAATCCACCCTGTATTTTAATGAAGCTCACAGACGGCTTTTTATCTCATTTAATAACCAGCTGATGTTATTGGAAATGAAGCAAGAAACCAGCAGAAAGGTCACAAGCCATAAGAGAGCAGTTACTTGTGTTCTTTACAATTCTGTCTTTAAACAGGTAAAGGGGGAAAAATAAAGAACCTTTCTGCATTTTCCTGATAAGCAACTTGAAAATGTGTATTACTGTAAGGTGTTTTTCTTAATTTGATTTCAGAAAGTTAAATTAGAAAGGGAGAGAGAATGAGAGACCATTTACTTCGGAAAGAAAATTATCTCAAATCAAAGTATGCAAATTACAGTCTTATATGACTGTCCTGCAAAGCACTGTGGGTATTCTAGTATCCCAACAGTTTAATTTAACTAGTAAACTACCTGCTTTCCTTAAACCTTCCATCTCTTTGGAAAAAATGGTTTGGTTTCTAATAAAGGTTCAGGGCTGAAAGGATATCAGTGTACCCCACATTTTCAAGACACCCTGATGATAATAATGAAGTCACTGTTATGAGATGACCTAGGGTTATCTTTAATGTAGGTTAGTACTGGTATGACGGCTAGTTGCAAAAGAACTTGGTTATAAAATTCCTCTTTATAGCCACCTTATAATAACTATCTCCAAGGATAGTTCTGAAATATGGACGAAATGTAATTAGTGAAGATTCATTTTTGCTAGAACATATTACACAAGTGGCTTACAGTGGCAGACCTGGATGTATTCATAATAAAATGATTCAGTTAAATGTAATACCACTTGGTATGCAGTGAGAGTGTTGTTTGTCTTCATAGTACTTTAATGATGCACTGCAGTCATTGGTATCAGAGCGCTACCTGCATCTCAATGAAGAGCCACAGTTACTATACAGGGGAATGTCTCTGTGATAGATTTCCCTGAGCTATGCTCAACCAGCCCCTTTTGTCTACAGATTCAGCTATTCAGCCAAAGCAAACCTCAGAGCATATAGTGGTATGATACGGGGTATCACCAGATCATCGTGTTTTTTTGGTAGCAATTTGTTTGGTACAAAGGAGCGTTTAAAGCTTGGTACTAGCAGTAGTATGGCAGCAATAGCTTAATTGATTAAAAGGGGGGAAAATCAGTTTTCCTGAGTGCTGTCAAAGAAACAACTCATGCTGTAAATTAAACAACAAAAAAGAATCCCACTTTTGTGGAACAAATACTGAATTTATATTAAAAATAAATGTTTTCATTTGTTCAAGCCTAAGAAACCCACCCAGTCTAAGAGACTCCAGTTAATTATATTATCACTAACCAAGAATTATGATTTCAGAGAGGTAGCCATGTTAGTCTGAAAAACTTAAAAAACAACTAATAGTCTTTAAGGTGCCGCAAAACTAACAAAAAATGTAGATGATATCATGAGCTTTTGTGGGCATAACCCACTTCTTCGTTGTTTAAGTTTTTCAAGTATTATGGTATTCCTCATCTACTAGAACGGGGTGACTGCAGCTCTTTGCTCAAAGAAATGCCGCTCTTAGGGTATGTCTACACTACCCCGCTAGTTCGAACTAGCGGGGTAGTATAGACATACCCTCTGAGTCCCTAGTGATACTATGTAGTAACCAAAGGATTAGGTTGTTTTCATGTCTGTGGTCCCAGATTAGATTAAATTGATTTTTGAAGATTAGATTTTTATTCTTCCATGAAATTGCCATGTGGAAAACCTAGGGCCAGCACTGATACAATTTACTCTCTGGGACAAATATAAAGTAGAGTCTGAGATAGTCTAAGAGAATAGAAATTCTGTTTTCTGAACAATTTCAAGATTTCAAACCTTGGCTTCGTCAGACCCCCTGCCACAGCCACGCACTTCTCCCTCCAGGTGTTGGGGCATGTGTACAGAGCGCCATGAGCAGTCCGGGCACATAGCTCAGAATGAGCCGTAACTCTAAGGGTATGTCTACACTACCCTCCTAGTTCGAACTAGGAGGGTAGTGTAGACATACCCTTAGAGTTACGGCTCATTCTGAGCTATGTGCCCGGACTGCTCATGGCGCTCTGTACACATGCCCCAACACCTGGAGGGAGAAGTGCGTGGCTGTGGCAGCAGCTCTAATGAGACCCAGCATTGGGTTAGAGTGATGTGGGGAGAGGCTGGGGGTGCCTGGCTCTGTGGCAGTGATGTAGCGAGAGGGGCAGGGGGGCAGTTGCCCCCAGGCACCATGCAAGGGGGGTGCCAGGCTGGGGTGGAAGCACACAGCCCCACGCAGTGAGCCCAGCATAACACTCTTGCAATGCCGCTGCTCTGCAGGAGCGGGAGAGCACTGGGTAAAAGCAGGGAGACTGAGAGTGCCTGGCTCTGTGGAAGGGGGAGGGAACTGGGTTGGAGCGGGGAGGGGGTTGAGGGTGTCTTGCTCTGGGGTAGGGTAGGTTCATTGGGTTGGAGTGGGGGAAGGGGAGGCTGGGAGTGTTTGGCTCTGGGGGAGGCTGCATGGCTCTTTGCACTACCATCCACAGCTATTTTGGCTGTTAGTGTCTAACTGGTTGGCCACCCCTGAACTAGAAGCATCCTTTTACATACAATTGCCTTCTAAAATGCCACTCATGGGGTCAAATTTGGTTGCAATATCATAGTCATTTATGTATCTGACTAGTCTATTTCAGCTGTGCTGGGTAACTTATAGTGCATTTTAATATTTTGATTGCAAAATATGTGTATTTAGATCAACAAGACTAATTTATTAGATGAATACTGGAAAGTTCTTTCCAGGAATTAGGAGCTAAAACAAGCAAGATAACCACTTCTGGCCTGACCCTGTGATCTGCAATACAGAAGTAGACTGCAGTACAGATGTGAAGCCCTGTTGAAGTCATTATTTGCAGCAGTCTACTATGCACAGTGAATAGGATAATTGAGATTTTTAAGGTAGTGTCACACTGCCTTGTGCTGTAATACATTCAGCTCTCACAAGCCAAACATGACTGAACTGGATCAGCAGAATTTGTCTGGACAAGGAAGAAATAGTCTCAGTGGATGGCCCTTGAACCAGTACCGAAGCAATGTTTCAGACTGGAGTTGGGGAGAAATGTGCTGCAAACAGTGCTTTGCTTTAAGATCTGAAACTGAGGTCCGACTCTTGACCTCTTGTAATCATTGGAGAATTTGTGGTGCTTTTTGAAAGAATGCAGGTTTTAGGCTGGGTGTTCTGGCCAGATTCCAACTCTGCTCATTGTCTTCTGCCTACCTAAGTCCCTTTTGCATTTCCAATTGGTCAACATTTCCTTCTTTAAACAGTTGTGCATTGTGGCTGTGTTGTTAAAGCGGGGCTATGTTTTTACCCTTGAGGTAGCTGCATTTCATTAAGGTATTGTGGGATCCCTGTATGTTTTGTGTTTAAGTTTCCAAAACCAGTTTGGATATGATAAAATACTATAAAGTTGATTTATATTATTAATCACAATATTAATTAGCCAGGGCCCAAGCAAAACAAGGTTAGCTACAGTGGGTGATGGTGCATACCAGATGCATTGGCCCTGGTAAAAAGGAGTGGCTTGGGATTCTCTGTGTACAGTAGTAGGCATTGGGCAAGTCAACAAATCAGAATGTGTGTGTGAGAGAGAGGAGACCTTAAAAAAGGACAGATAGAAACAGGCAGAAGTATTTAAGAAGAGAAAAGCAGGCCTAGGAAAGATGGGAGGAGTGTAGTAGGAAGTGAGGTCCCATGAGAAAAGGCAGGTAGAAGAAGAGGGAAAACCCTTTTCTAACAAAGGGCTTTGTAAAGGACTTCAATAGTCTGTATTTTCTTGTTAAAGATCACAGTTGGTGGGCCCATCTGCTAAACAAGTCACAGCGATATGTATCCACCTACCCTTAGGGTATATGTTTTTGAATGAAGCAGTATGGGGTGCTGGAGGCTGTGCTAATGAGCAGCATGCACTCAGTTAAATTATTGATTTTAAAGCCTTCTATGAGTCAGGAGAAATGGAGACAGAAAAAAAGGAAGGTGCATTTTCCTTTAAGATGGAGACATTCTGGGAAACTTATGTCCAACGGATAAACTTCTTAGTACCACTCCCAAAATGAGCACATACTTGATGTGTCATGGTTTTGGAGCACTAAACCACCCATAATCCTCATAACAATGCTCTGAGGTAGTTAATCTATTTTCCATGGAAGTGTGTGTAATCCCAAAATAATTATTAGGAAGTATATATCAATAGCATAGACCAGCAGGGCTGGCCACCTTGGCAGGCCCCTCAGCCAGTGTATCCAAAAGTGTTGCACGGAATCACTCTCAGAAACATTAATTGTCCATCCTGGTTTGTTTATTTACTGGTGCCATGGCCACGGAGCCTCGCGGCTCCCATTGGCTTCATTTCGTCCTTTGCAGCCAAGGGAGCCTCAGGAAGCTGGTAAATAAACAAACCAGGGGGGCAGTTAATGTGTTTCTGAGAGTGATTCCATGGAACACTTTCAGAAACACTGCCCTAGACAAGATGGAGAGGGCCCTGCTCTGTGCTCCTGGAAGGGGCACACAGAAAGGGGTGGCAGTGTGGTTTAAGTTGCTGGGTCACAGGCCAGGAACTCAAACACCTACATTCTAGTCCTAGTTCTGCCAGGGACTTGCTGAGAGAAGTTGGGCAAGTCTGTGTTTCTGTTTCCCCTTCCACTGCTGGAGCTTGTCTACACAATAAGTTACTGTGAGGCAAGCCACGGTATGAATCTATAGTACACCAGTTTGTCCTGCAGTGCCATCCTGTCTGGATGCTGCTATAAGGCAATGACGGTCGCAGAGAATGGCTTAGACTACTATGCTTTGAAGATGTCACAGCAAAGAGACATTTGGTACAGTGAGGAAGACCACAAGAATGGGAATGACTCCTCATGGTTGGAGCTCTCACCTATGATCCAGTCTTCCTGATTCAATGACTCTTGAAGCTATTGGACTCTGGTTAAATAATTAAACAGAAGAGACTACGAGAGCCCCATATCAGACTATGCCAAATCCCAATGGTTAGAGTGCTCCCCAGAATGATGGTTAATCTTAGTTCAAATCTCTTTGCTTTCTTGGTGGAAAGGGGACTCAAGTCAGGGTTCCCCCCACCTTCCAGGAAAGTACCCTAACCACAGCTAAAATTATGATGGAATTCTTCCTTCTTGCTCCTCACATCTTGCTACAATGGCTTAGGCGCCTAACCCAAAAGAGGGTTGCCAGTTGTGAACTGCAAGTACAGCTATGCACATCCCTGTAGCCTGGACTTTGGTCCCTGTCTCTACGCACCTCTGTGGTTGGCATATTACATTGGCTAGGTTAGGCAGCTCTCTGCTCAGTATATGTTTATTTTTGAGAATTCCAGACTAAGGCACCCATATCTTCTCCTTCATTGTTAGCTAAGGCACCTAACACAGTCTTTGTGGGTTGCAGTGATTTTCCAGGGACTCGGTGTCACAACATCTAACCCCCTTTGTGCATCCTGGTTTTAAGTCTCTCTTTGTGTCTCATATCTCCATCTGTAAAATGGGGATGAAATCTCACAAGAACATTTCCTGAGAGATCCCTGGCCTTAACTTTATCTTGAACTGTCACTGCCAAATTTTCATGAAATGTCTCATCTCCTCTGGTCATCTCTAACATTAATACAATATTTTCAGCTTTTATAATGTCCTTCATCAAATAATCTCAGTGCACTAAGTAAGCCTCATGAGGTAAATAGGCATTATTAATTCTATCCTAAAGATGTGGAAACTGAAGTACAGAAGTCATGGGTCTCCCCCCAAAGTCATACAGTAAGGCAGAGGTAGTCAGCAACAAAATTGACATTTATTGATGCCCACTCCTATGTCTTAACTCCTAGACAATGCTGTTTTGTCTCACACTCCTTATTTAAATAGTCTAGAACTCCTTATATAATAAAGTGAGAGTTTCGAATCACCTAGGCAAATCTTAGAACTTGAAAGCAGACTTGGTTATAATCAGAGTTCAAATTGGGTGCCCTTTGAATGATGCTTTTAAGGACATGAGCAATATAGCTAATGTAACACAGTAAGTTTGCAGTATATTGCTTCTTAACAAGAAAGCCTTGTTAATTACTAAAATTTGAAGAGGAGTTACCTTAGTTCAGTGAATTATAATTTTATTTTTTTTAAAAAAACCTATTGAAGGAGTCCATTATTTATTTATATTGCCAGAAATTAAAGGAAAAAAACCTTGCCATCGGAATCACTCCATAATGGTTTACAGTCAGAGAACACCAGTTGTGCAGAAGCTGTACTTCTTGTGTTTGTGGTCAGAGGCATTATGAGTGAAGATAAGTGGTTGATATAAAATTTCCACAGGTACACTATTTGGTATCTATCTTTGAACTTCTTGAAATGTGAATTGCATCATGAAGGAATTTGATTTTTGCTAAGAATTCTAAGAACTCCTTGAGCATTTTCTGGGGAAAGAATTGGATTTTTTTCAATGCAGAAACTGCCAACTATCTTACTGAGTATCTGATTGTTAATTAGGAAGAAAGTACTGTGAAAAGAGTGAAGAATGATTAAATCTTAGTGATTATTGTGTGTTAACCTATACATGGAAAGGATTAAATAAAAGCATGTGTATAGTTGGGTGGCATTTAAAAATTCACCACTTGTCAACAGTTGCCATCTTTGACAAAGATACCACCATTACAGTATTTCTTATTTTAAGAATAGGGATAGAACAGGGATTAGGGATATACTGTGGTGATTGTTGGTGAATCTTAACCTCTTTAATGATGACATTCAAAGACTTTTAAAAAATGAAAATCTCAGAATGCTTTTTTTCAGGCAAAACTCCCATTGACTTCAATGGGAATCTTGCTTGAATTAGGACTGAGAAAGGATGGAAGATTTCACCCAGCAGTAAGTATACAACAAATGGAAGAGTGAGTGCATCTGTTTTAAGCAATTTAATGCACCGCATGCGAAAAAGACCCAAAACAGAAATAACCATAATCTGTACAATTGGACTTTTTCTTAATTTATAAAGCCTGGTCTCACTTCTGAATTCTAAATTGAGGCTAATGTATGCTGAGAGCTTCCCAAAAGCTATTTCCAGTAGCTTTAAAGATCCATTACTCGGTGGATCAGTTCTCTGAAACAAGCAGGGAAGATTTATCGTTTAGCACAACACATTCAGTTGAGTGTGCCTGCAAGTTTCCAAGCTGAAAGGCTATGGACATGTTTCATCCCTGCTGAGAACATTTTTAGTTCCCCCATGTAACTTGGGATATTGTCTCTTTAGGAAGCTGGTCACCCATCTTCTATGCTGGTGGATAGGGCCCTACCAAATTCACTGCCTTGAAAACATATCATGGACCATGCAATCTGGTCTCCCCCTGTGAAATTTGCTCTTTTGGTCTACATTTAACCCAATTTCAAAGGGCGGGGAGAGACCAGCCTTTCTCACACTGGAAGTCCTGACTCAAAAGGGAGTTACTGGAGAATACAAGGTTATTTTAGGGGGACTGCAGTATTTTCACCCTCACTTCTGTGCTGTCTTTAGAGCTGGATTGCTGGAGAGGTGCCAAGTTCTAAAGGCAGCATTCTGCCAGCAGCAGTGTAGAAGTCAGTGTAGCAATATCATAGCATGCCACCCTTGTTTCTGTGCTGCTGCCTTCAGCACTTGGTGGCAGGAGAGTGGCAACTGCTGCCTGAGGGCCCAGCTCTTTAGACAGCAGGACAGAAATAAGGGTGGCAAAACCATATCATGTCATCCTTACTTCTGGGCTGCTGCTGACGGTGACTCTGCCTTCAGAGCAGGGATCCCAGCCAGCAGCTGCCACTCTCCAGCTGCTTAGATCTGAAGTCAGCACTGCCCCCTATAGCAGCACATAGTAAGGGTAGAAGTAGTGCAACTCTCTTGAATCCCCTCCACTCCTTTCTGAGTTAGGATCCCTACAATTACACCACCATGACATTTCAGATTTAAATAGATGAAATAATGAAATGTATGATTTTTTCAATCCCATGATGATGAAATTGACCAAAAATGAACTGTGAATTTGGTTATCCAACTATGGACAACAGGGAGCAAATCTTTGCTCTTTGGCTAATTTGAAGGTTTTGCAAGAAGCAGACTTATGCATAAACTTTGATTGTGGGGAATGATAATGCTTTTAATGAGATGAAAGGGAAAAGATGGGGAAAAATCAATGAAAAAATTATCTGATTTGCATTTCAAATGTTGCTAATTATATAAGTGCAGTGCACATATGTATGAGATTACTATAATGAAGATGCACACACACATCACTATGTAGAGAGACCAAGTTTTTAAATTCCATCTCAATTTCTACTCCCCCCCCCCTCAGGTAATCAGCTCAGATGCAGGATCTACCATTACCTTCTGGCTGATAGACACTGGGCAGAAAATCAAACAGTTTACTGGTTGCCATGGCAAAGCTGAGATCAGCACAATGACACTGGATACAACTGAGACAAGGCTCTTAACTGGGAGCACAGACGGAACAGTCAAGGTGTGAGGGGAAAACATTTCAAACTGCCTGTTTCCATTGCACTCTTTTCCACACAGAGACAATGTGCCAAAACACTCTGATACTAAAATGATGGCTGGTTTTTCCATTGGCCTTATTAAAAAGGAGATGGGATGAACTCAGCAACTAGAGGCTGAAATCCTTATACTGTTGGGAAAATGTAGTTAAATTTAATTGCTTCTCTAACACTTCAGATACACATAGGACTTTACAGAACACTCCCCTCTTTGTTACCTCTCTTCCTTTCTTCTAAGTGGTTTCATTGCAATCCATGACTCTATGCAGCACATGGCCCTTATTGCCTCAATCACCAGACAATCATTTCCATTGCTTTTCTTGGAGCACTCACTGTCATTACACAAGAGCATATTATTGTGGTTGCCAATGCTGGTGGCTGCAAAACAACTATTTTGAAATGGTGGCTTGGTTAGTTAAAACACTAGCCTTTCACTCTCAGACACATACATTCTAATTCTGGTTTATTGAAAGTTAAGGTGAATTTTAACACATCTTAATTATCTCAGTGAAAACGTAACCATATCACAAAACTGCCATGCACTTCAATAACTGGTGCTTTTGTTTCTATGAAAGAGAGATTCTTGTGTTGAATGCCAATGATGTAGGTTATAGATCAGGATATTGATGTATTGACAGAATATTGGCCAACATTATGACAAGTTTTAAGCCAATGCTGTTAGTTTTTTACTTTAATGCACACTAAATTCACTCCGTTTTAAAAATGTGATAGGGTGGCAAAATTGATTTCTGGCTCCTCCTATTTTATTGGCTGAAGTTGCTGAAAATCATCAACCTTGAGAGCTCATTTCCCTAGACTTGGCTCATTTTGATATAACTAGTTGGACTTAGATATTTATTATCTTATGGTAGCTCTAGAGGTCTCTGTTAAGATTGGGAACTTGTTGGGTGAGGCACTGTACAAACACGTAATTTGAAAGGATCCTACTTTGGAGATCTTATAATGTAAACAGAGAAGACAAGGAGCTTAAGGGCAAACAGAAAAGTGACTTAAAGATAACACAGAAGTCCGGTGGGAGAACTAGCAACAGAATTTAGGTCTCCAGAATCTCAAGCAAGTGGCCAACCCTCTGTGTCATTCTGTCTCTGTTTTCTTGCTTCTTAACTTGTGTCTTTGGTAGAGATGGGCCCAAGTCATAAAGTTCAGATCCAAATCCAATGTTTGGATTTCTGTCCCCTTAGAGAGATAGGACAAAGCCGCAAATGCTGGAATCTGTACCAAACTCTGCCAAAATTTGGGAATTGAGGAGAGTGGTGTGGACGTTGCATCAGTTGTTCCAGTTTTTGCCCATCTCAGGCATAATTTTGGTAGTTGAGCATCTCCCCTAAGGGTAACCTTTTGGGCTTACAAGACAAAATATACTGTATTGCTTGGTCTTGTTATTTCCTTGATTGCCTGGGTTCTAATGTGGGCAGGTCAAGCTAAAAATAATAAACACATATTCTTAAATACCACAGTGTGCACTGAAATTTGGGACTGCACTGAGTGATACTTTCGGCCTTGGCTTATTAGAAGTGGCTTGCCTTAAATATATCCCAAGGACTGGTCTGCTGTTTCTAAGCAGTAGAAATCCTAAAGACAAAACATTCAATATCTAGGTGGGGAGAGGGCAACGGGCTGGCTTCAGTTCATGCCAAACTACCCATCCTAAGGGCACCACATTGTACCACATTTAAAGCAACACATCTAGTCCAATGCGGGTGACATTTATATCAGCAAAAAGCTGGTTTGTAACAGTATAGTTCATTCCTGTATGGGAATTAGAATAAACTACACTAGTACAAGGCACTTTTTTACCAGTAATTGTGTCACCCATTAATTGTTGTACTGGTGTCACTATTTCAGTAAGAAAGGCACATTCTAAATGTTGTGTCAATCAGGCCTTAGTGAAAGAACAAACAGAAGAAAATCCACAGATAGGATGTAGACAGAGTCTTGAGCTAGGGTCAGGAAGCACAGGATTAGTCTGTCTAGCAGTAATACTATGGAATGGAAATGTCTTATTTCAGTATTTCATACTGCCAGTGCAATTTGAAGATGAAGCTTCTCATACCTCTTTCTTACAAAAAATTATTTCAATGCCTTTGCAAAGGACTCCTACTAATATAAAACTTACATATAAGTACAAATATGGAATATGAACATGGAGAAGGAATGTATTGTGTTTAAATGGCAAATACATTTGATTTCAAATCACTACATTATTGATGTATTAGTAGATTTTAAATGACATGTTTGATCAATGTTTTCACAATCCTTGTGTCTTTTTAAATGTTGTTTTAATTTTCAGTGAACTGTCAATTAACTAATAAGAAGCTGAAGCATCTATCTGAGGTTGTGATTTATACTGAGCTTATTGACTCGTGTATAGTAAGACTATAAAGTGGTGAAAACCTGCATGAATTATGAAGGTTAATGCAAAAGAGTTGCCAGTAAGACCTTAACACTCAGGCTCACTGACAAGGGTGGGAGGAAACCATGGGGGCAATTGCCCAGGGGTCTGGGCACTTTAAAAGGGCCCAGAGGTTCCCAGCCACTGCCGCCAGCAGTGTAGCATGGCTCAGGCAGAATTCCTGCCTACACTTGCTCTGTGCCACTCCCAGAAGCGTCCAACACCATCCTGTGTCCCCTAAGGGGTGTGTGCGGGATCTCTCCAGGCTGTCCCCACCTGAGTGTTGACTCTGCAGCTCCCATTAGCTGGGAACTGTGGCCAATGGGAGCTAGGGAACAATGCCAGTGGGCAGCAGCACACAAAGCCCTGCTGACCCTTTTGCCTAGAAGCCACTTTCAAAGGAGTGTGCAGGGCACTTTCAGGAGCCACCTGAGGTAAGTGCCAACCCTCTGTGCCCCTCCTATATCCCAAGTGCCCCTTTTGTACCCCAACCTCCTGCTTTAGTCCAGAGCCCACAACCCCCACTGAAACTCTCTCCCAAAGCCTGCACCCCTCACTCCCTCCTGTACCCTAACTCCTTGCCCCAGCCTGGTGAAAGTGAGTGAGAGTGGCAGAGAATATGGAGTGAGCAGGCTCAGGGCTTGGAGAAGTGGTGGGATCTTTGGGTTTGTGCAATTTGACATTTGGCAACTGTACCAGACAGGCAAGTGGAAGTCCTGGCCCTTCTGGAAAATGCAACCAGCAGCACATCCAGCAGCTTGCTGGGCACTAGTGAGAGCAAGTGCTTAAATGTCAAGTGGACCACATCTGCATAGGTGTAGCATGTGTGCGTGTTGGGCCCCATTGAAAATTCTGCCCTGTGGCTCAGAATTGCTGTTGGCAGAGCTGCTATCACAACTCCAGAGACTATTAGAAACAAGAACTATTTATCTCCTTTCAACACCTGTAAAGATGTTTCCTGACTAGTGGGAGTCCAATAGAGCAATTTTCAGTGTGACAGGAAAAGGGTCTAGCTAGTGCTTAAGATATTGGACTTGAGAAATGTCTGTTGAATTAATTGGTCAAGTTACACAATGCCTCTGTGCTGCAGTTTCCCATTTGGAAACTCTCTTACCCTCTGTCTCTTTTATGCAGATTGTAAGTTCTTTGTTTCTGTGTGGAACTGACACCTAGCACAAGAGGGTTTCAGATTTCAGATAGGATCTCTAAATAAACAAGGCTAGAAGGTTTTGAAAATGTAGTCAAAAGAGCTTTCCTCTAAATAGGACTCACAGACATGATAATAAGGCTGAGTCTTGCAACTGGCTACGTTTCAAGTGTCAGATCTTCAAAATGTCACTGGCCCAAGACACAAACATATCAATTCAAGATCTTGGGCTAGCAAAGGGGTGGCCAGTCCACGGCTCATGAGCCGCATGTGGTTCTTCAAAGGAAAAATTGTGGCTTCTGCACCCCCGGCTGTTCTGCATTCCCCTGCTCTGACCTTTTTCCTTGTCTGGTCAGGGTGCTGCTTGGGGCAACAAGATTTGATGCTGTAGCTGACAGAAGCCCGCTTGGTCCACACGCAGCTGTTAAAGGGACAGTGGGGTTTTTTTGTTTTTTGGGGGGTTTTTGCTCAACAACTTCTTTCCCTCGGCTCTTTGCACTGTATCTGTAATATGTTGGCCACCCCTGGGCTAGCATAACATTTTTCCACCAAATTCTTCATTGTGGGGTGGGAAAAAGTCTTTAATGGGAATGATTCTTATTTTTAAGAACGTGTCAGAAAGATGTCCAAATTGCTGGCATATTAACAGAGCCCTGACAAAGATTGCTTAGAAATGAAGAGGTGAGGCAGTCAAAGGTGCAAAATAAATGCTCTTTTGCATATACAAGCAGTCCCCGAGTTACGCGGATCCAACTTATGTAAGATCCGCAGTTACGAACGGGGTTTGCTCCACGTCTCCCTGGTCTACTGGAGACCAGCAGACCAGGGAGACGGGGAGCAAAGCCGCGGAGCACGCGGGCAGCAGGACAGCCGCGGCGCGTCTGGGCTGTCCTGCTGCTCCCGTGCTCCGCGGCTTTGCTCCGGACGCCTGTGGTACAGCAGCTGGGGCGCCGGCGGTTGGTCCCATAGCGCCGCTGTGGGCGCTACTGGACCAACCCTGCAGCACCCCAGCTGCTCTGCCCCAGGCGTCCCCAAGTCAGCTGCCCGCGGAAACGCACCAGGG